ACTCGTATTCAAAAATCACTCGAATTTTCGCAGTATCCATCTTTCTTTTTAGTTTGTCGCAGTATCCATAACGTACAAGGCGAAAATGGCGTACTGGTATATGGAACTTCGCCTACTGTTGGCACACGTGCTACACAAACTTCAACTGTAGTTATAGTTCTGTGGCCACCGGCTTGCTATGTATAGCTGGCCGGTTGATGCAATGACGGACGCAAACATACAGATTGCCAGCTGATGGGCTCGTGTCTTTTTGTTTAGCTGATTGTCACTTGTTGAGAATGGTTTTGTCAGCCTAGTCTATCAGAGAAAGCCTGGAGACTCTACTGTACTGTTGAAGAAAAATTAGCCAAATAATTTGTAATTTCAGATCCATTGGATTTCTTCTTCCTGGATAGAAATACTGGTGAACTGAAGACAGCTAAACCACTGGACAGAGAAGCTCTGGAAGATCCTTCATCGCCTTTAAATTTGACAGTTAGAGTGAGTAGAAAAGTTGTAATATAATAAAACTTTGTATGTATGACACGATCTACAAATTCGTCAATGAAACATGATTTCGAGCGAACTGTTCTTCAAGACCTTGTTTAAATAGTCCAAATCAATATTAATTTGTATTAGGCAATATTTTATTAGCTCCACTAGCTCCTTGTGAAATAGTTCATCCAGGAAATAACGCCACATTACCTATTTCTGCCACCAAGCAGTAATGTGAGCATTACTGCGTTCCGGTTTTGAAGGGTAAGGGTGGTGGTGAAATTACAGACACGTAGGACTTGTCAACTTATGTCTCAAAGTGACGGGCGCAGTGACAGTGCTTCCCAGATGTTTGCGATTTAAAGCTCTGACTGCCACTGCAACTGTTATACGCCTACCTATAACAGTTACAGTGCCACACAGAACTTGATATCGCAAAGATCTAAGTATCTTGACAGTAGATCCCTGGACGAACTCTTTCACAAGGAGTCCAGTGCTAGAATCTTCGAGATTCCGTAGGTAAGTCCCAGTCCCCTCTTTTGTAAGAAAAAAAAGCCATTAACAACATTCCGTTCCAGGTAACCGAGCTGGTAAATGGCGCTCCACTGTACAGCAACAGTACATCATCAACGGCCACAGTGACCGTTACCATCAAAGACGTTAACGACGAGCCTCCGAGGTTCAATCGGCGGGAATACCATGTGGCCATACCGGAAAGTCTGCCTATTGGGACGCCGTTGCCTAATTTGGATATGGTCGTCACTGACACAGATGTGGTAAGTAATTCAAATCGAGTTGGAAATGAAATATTTTTTTTTCGGATCTAAACCGCGTACGTTTGTTTTTTCAAACAAACCAACGTTTCGGGCCCTTTACAGGTCCCATGATCTCGGGTGAGTGAGATGGTTAAGTCTTAGCAATTATGTCTAATATTAACGCAAACTCCTCTATTTTAACTGGTTCTTAATTGGAATGTATTTTTGGTACCTATGTATGTTACGCGACAACTCCGCATTTGTGAACCGGTTTTAATGATTCTGTTTTTGTTGGAAAGAGGGTGCCTCAGGAGTTGTCCCATTTAAATTTGAAGAAAATGTTCCACCTCGAAGGGTGACAAACTAGGGGATGAATGACTTTTGAGGTCGTTTTTTTAGTACTCCGTACTGAGATTACTACATGTAGATTAAAATACTTTGGTTTTATATATATATATTAGACATAACTGGTTGAAGACGGTACCACCTCAGTCAACCGTGACCATGGGACCTGTAAAGGGCCCGAAACGTCGGTTTGTTTGAAAAAACAAATATACTCGATTTAAATCTGGAAAAATAGTTTCATTTCCTACTTCAATTTTGTTCAGGGTCTTAACTCCATGTTCAGTCTTCGACTATCGGACGATTTAGACGCGTTCATAGTCGAGCCGGCGACGGCCACCGGCAGCGCCTCTGTTACTTTGCGGCTCAACTCTAGCTTGGATTACGAGGATCATAACCAGAGGAAGTTTATTTTGGAGGTGAGTTATATCCTTTATTCATATACAAATTTCTAGAACTGATGCAAGAATACATACTCTAACCTTAAAAATAGTTTCGATTCAATGGCAAAATAGAAGAAGCGCCCAACAAGGGACTTATTACTCTGTAAGTTAAATGGTTATGGCGAGTCAAATGTCTCTTCTGACAAGAGAGGTTAAACCATAGTCCGCCACGCTGGTCCTTCCTATACGGGTTGTGGACTCATTTTCAAGGTTTGTGAACCGTCTTCGAAATGCAGGTTAGCGAGAGGTATAGCTACTAAACAGTCACAAATGTACGTAACTTAGGTACATACACACCGCCACAGGGTATCGTTCGAACCATCTACCTCCCAAATATTTCAATTAATAAATAAATTAATATGAATCACATACGTTGCTCTGATCCAAAAGTAAGCAACTAAAACACTTGTGTTATGGAAATCAGATTGTTTTTTATAATATCAAGTGACGGGACGTACAGGTCGTATGCCTGATGGTAAGCTACATGCCTGTCCATAACAGTTGCATTGCCACCTTGAGTTACTTGGAGACATAAGTTGACAAGTTCCACGTGCCTGTAATTTCACCAATCAGAAATAACGACTGTACCACAAACACCCAGACCTAAGATTATATAGTTTTCTGCATAGACCCGGCCGGGGATCGAATTCGACACCTCAGAGATGGTGACACTATGAAAACCAGTGTGCAAGCCACTCGACGATTGCGGTCATCCTTTTTTTGATTTTTGATCTGCCGGACAACTGAAAAATTTAAATTTTCGGTCTAGTCTAATATTGTTGCATGAGAACTACGATTCCGTAGTGGATACTAGCAGTCTTATTAATGGTTCCGATACAGGATACAGGCGTACAACTACCCACAGAAACGTAATCAAATTTGTTTCACAAGCCAGTCAAATTCTTACAAATCTCAGGTAATAGCGGAAGAGCTCCATCCCCCCAAGCGACTGTCCTCAAAAGCCAGTGTAACAGTGACTCTGATAGATGTAAACGACAACGCTCCGACGTTCCCTGAAGAACCTTACTCCGCTTCGGTAGCCGAGAACGCAGAAGGAGATACTCTGATTACTGTTATTACTGCTTTTGACAGAGATACTGGCAGGTAAGTGTTCTTTACATTGTTAATTAATACAGACTATGTTGTTTTTTATGATATCAAGTGACTGACGAACAAGTCGTGCGTCTGGTGGTAAGCAACACGCCCAGAGCTTCAATAGCAAAGATCCAGTAGATTTCTTTAGAGTCAACTTATGTCTCTGGGTGACGGGTGCAGTGGCAGTGCCCTTTGTGCTGCACTGCAACTGTTATGGGCAGACGTGTCGCTTACCATCAGGACCATGACTTGTTCGCTCCGTCACTTGGTACTGAAAAAAACACATTCTATTAGTTTAAAATAGTTCCAAAGTTTGCCACTAGATGGAATTGATCCAAAATACGCGATTTCTCTGGATTATGCTGTGAGTTTCTTTTATTCTACGTTCAAAGGGACTTGACACGGAAGGCGCACCACGCATTAGGGCGAATAACAAACAAAATTATAACATAAATCGCCCCGTCTTACGTAAAGTGTCGTGTATCGAATTGCCAAGTTTACATGGGAGCGTTTTAAAGTTCTCCGTTTTATTCGGCAAAGCTCATTACTCATATAGAATGATCATCTAATAGATCGTCTAACCGATATCTGTATTTTATAACACTCTCCGTGAGTAACGAGCTCTGCCGAATAAAACTGAGAATCGCTAAAGTCACATGTTACACTGTTACACTCTTATTTCAGTGAATTCAGAACTTTAAAAGGCTCCCCTGTAAACTTGGCAATTTGGTCATACGATACTTAACGTAGGAGAGATCGAAATTAGCAGCGTACCGCCAAAGTTTGTTTACTTTATCAAGCAAATTTTTAGCCTACAGGTTGTGGTGTTATAACGGTATATCAATATAATTCTTCTTAGTCGGAAATTCTTCGCTGAGTAGTCATGTTCTTGAGTCGCTTTTTATTGCACTTTGTTAATTTAGCTGTACCTTGACTATGGCACAGTTTGTGACAGTTTTCATAGTCATAACACATTTTTTCTTTATGAATTCTAGATTTGGAACCGAAGGTATAATCTACGAGTTGTCGGGCAGCGGATCTGAGTTGTTCAAAGTTAACAACCGAACTGGAGGGATCACGGTAGCTCCATGCGCCACCCCTGGACATCCACCCTGTTTGGACTATGAAACCAGAAAGGAGTACTTCTTACAATACAAGGTAAGTTCAGAAATTGACAGACATTAATATTATGTAGCTTGCTTTATGTCTCTCTACTGGGCACGGGTCTTCCCTAAGAAGGTTTAGGTCATAAATTCATGAGTAACCGTAATTTGGGTTCGAGATTTCGATGTAGTACAACGTAGATTAATACAGATCTTTTGTTATTAATTTTTAGAATATGTATTTTAAATGGGAGAGGTAGTATTTCCCTGCAATGGCACTGTCGATGGAGGTCGAAATGACACTTGCTGCTGTTGAGCAATTGCTGCCTCCGAAATCCAACCGCTTCATGTTGTTAATGTTTGCTTTTCATTTCAACTGAATACAGGCCTATGTAAAAAGGGAGTTATCCCAAAATTTACACGAGTTACAAACCTCTAATGCACATATAATTTATTAAAATTCCAGGCAACAGACGACAACGGCTCCGGCCAAAGCTCAGTGGTCCCCCTGCAGATATCTATCACTGACTCGAACGACAACGCTCCCGTGTTCCTGACGCCTATTTACAAAGCGTCCATAGATGAGGATGCTGTCAAATTTGAACCGGAGTTACAGGTTTACTGATTCACTTTGGATTTTAAATGATTATCATCAATTACAAGTTTCTTGGTACGGATTTTTTCCGATATTTCGGAACGGTCATATGCTCCAAGGTCACAGGTTGACAGCTTTAAGTACAAACATATCTGTCTACCCTCTTTCGAAGTCAACGACTACCGTCATCTCGATTACTTGTGGCGTAACCATTACTCGCTTTTTTATGACATACCACACTCACTGTGACGACACGTGATCTGTAATTAGTGATAATGATAAACTAGGGTCCATTGAAAATCAGCGTCACAGCCCATTCTCAGCTGTGGCTTTAGCTGAGTGAGATCCTTTTGCATACGCTACAGCCGCACACATGTCAGT